ACTCTTTGCCCTTGTGCATCAGCAGAGTGGCATCGCCTCCATCGTCCACAAGCTGGTCGCAGCCATCCGCACCAGGAACTGTCATCATCTGCTCAGTGCACCACCAGTACTCCGGCAGGGTCTCACCTTTCCAGGCAAACACTGTGGAAGTGCCAGCCTTGGCAATGGCGGCCGCAGCATGGTCCTGTGTGCTAAAGATGTTGCAAGAGCACCAGCGCACCTTGGCGCCCAACGCGCTCAGCGTCTCGATGAGCACACCTGTCTGGATGGTCATGTGCAAAGAGCCGTTGATGTTCAAGCCCTTGAACGGCTGCCCAGGGCCATACTCCTTCCTGGCAGCCATCAGGCCTGGCATCTCGTGCTCTGCCAGGGTCAGCTCCTTGCGGCCAAACTCAGCCAGGCCCATGTCCTTGACTTTGGAGTCCGCCATGGCGTACGAAGTGGTTCGGAAATGGGGCACTACAAAAGTTCCAGGTCGGCTTGAGACTGCCAAATGAATCAAGTTTTATCTGAAGCAAACGGTGGGGCACCCTCCACAGCCCTGTTCCTCTTCTCAATAGACAGCAGCTTCTGCAGCTTACCTCAGGTTTCCCACAATGGCTTGATTTTGGGGAAAAAAGGGTCGTTTCACCCGCTTCACACGCAAGCAGCCCTAGCTTTGATAATGCAGGCAAAATTCGAACGCATTTTTTAGAGCGGATGAGCGCTCCAGCGGTCAGGCATCCGCGCTCAGCTGTCTGATGCGCCGCCTGCGCAAGGGTCAGAACCTCTCCTCACATGAGCGTGTCCCTTGAAATCTCACGCCAGCTCCTTGCTCAGCCATGTCCTTGACTTTGGAGTCCGCCATGGCGTACGAAGTGGTTCGGAAATGGGGCACTACAAAAGTTCCAGGTCGGCTTGAGACTGCCAAATGAATCAAGTTTTATCTGAAGCAAACGGTGGGGCACCCTCCACAGCCCTGTTCCTCTTCTCAATAGACAGCAGCTTCGACCAGTCAAACACGCAGCTTACCTCAGGTTTCCACAATGGCTTGATTTTGGGGAAAAAAGGGTCGTTTCACCCGCTTCACACGCAAGCAGCCCTAGCTTGATAATGCAGGCAAAATTCGAACGCATTTTTTAGAGCGGATGAGCGCTCCAGCGGTCAGGCCACTTCTTCTTGGGATCCGCGCTCAGCTGTCTGATGCGCCGCCAAGTGGGACCATCTCGCAAGAAAACTAGTCAAGTCTAACCGGAACCTCAAGTCATGTGATGACATTGTGATCACATGAGAATCTAATAACGGTAGGTGTCCTGCTTGAAGGGGCCATCTGTCTTAACGCCAATGTAGTCGGCCTGCTCCTTGCTCAGCTTGGTAAGGTGGGCACCCAGCGCCGGCAGATGCAGTGCGGCCACCTTCTCGTCCAGCTGCTTGGGCAGCAGGTACACATCGTTCTTGTACTTCTTCGCCTTGGTGCAGTTTTCCAGGATGTCCAGCTGCGCCAACACCTGGTTGGTGAAGGAGCAGGACATCACGAAGGACGGGTGACCAGTGGCACATCCCAGATTCACAAGCCGGCCGGAGGCCAGCACAATGACTCCGTGGCCGTCAGGGAAAACGAATCGGTCCACCTGAGGCTTGATGTTCTCCACCTTGATGCCGGGGAAGTTCTCAAGGTCCTCCATGGCAATCTCGTTGTCAAAGTGCCCGATGTTGCACACGATGGCGTTGTTCTTCATCTTCTTCATGTGGTCCAGCGTGATGATCTTGAAGTTGCCAGTGGCCGAAGTGAAGATGTCCACCTCGCTAACCACCTCCTCGGTGGTCACCACCTGGAAGCCCTCCATGCACGCCTGCAGCGCGCAAATGGGGTCAATCTCCGTGATCAGCACGCGGGCGCTGCACCCCTCATGGCAAAAGCACAGCCCTTGCCCACATCTCCGTAGCCCGCCACAAGGGCACGCTTGCCACCGATCATCACGTCAGTGGCGCGCATGATGCTGTCAGGCAGAGAGTGCCGGCAGCCATACACGTTGTCGAACTTCGACTTTGTCACGCAATCGTTCACGTTGATGGCTGGGAACAGCAACTCGCCCTTGGCAGCCATTTCGCGAAGGCGGTGCACGCCAGTGGTCGTCTCCTCGCTGACGCCCTTGCATTTCGCGGCCATGCGAGTGTACTTGGTCTTGTCCGCCGGGATGGAGTCCTTCAGCAGCTGCAGGATGCACTTGTACTCTGCGTTGGTGGTGCTAGCCGGGTCTGGCAGGCTGCCATCCTTTGCGTACTTCTCCTCGAACTCTTTGCCCTTGTGCATCAGCAGAGTGGCATCGCCTCCATCGTCCACAAGCTGGTCGCAGCCATCCGCACCAGGAACTGTCATCATCTGCTCAGTGCACCACCAGTACTCCGGCAGGGTCTCACCTTTCCAGGCAAACACTGTGGAAGTGCCAGCCTTGGCAATGGCAGCCGCAGCATGGTCCTGTGTGCTAAAGATGTTGCAAGAGCACCAGCGCACCTTGGCGCCCAACGCGCTCAGCGTCTCGATGAGCACACCTGTCTGGATGGTCATGTGCAAAGAGCCGTTGATGTTCAAGCCCTTGAATGGCTGTCCAGGGCCATACTCCTTCCTGGCAGCCATCAGGCCTGGCATCTCGTGCTCTGCCAGGGTCAGCTCCTTGCGGCCAAACTCAGCCAGGCCCATGTCCTTGACTTTGGAGTCCGCCATGGCGTGCGAAGTGGTTCGGAAATGGGGCACTACAAAAGTTCCAGGTCGGTTTGAGACTGCCAAATGAATCAGAGGTACTTCCCTTTTCAGCATTGGCTTTATCTGAATCAAACGGTTGGGCACCCTCCACAGCGCTGTTCCTCTTCTCAATAGACAAGCTTACCTCAGGTTTTCCACAATGGCTTGATTTTGAGAAAAATGGGTCGTTTCACCCGCTTCACACGCAAGCAGCCCTGGCTTCAAACATGCAGGCACAAATCGCACACATTTTTGAGAGCGGATGAGCGCTCCAGCGGTCAGGCCACTTCTTCTTGGGATCCGCGCTCAGCTGTCTGATGCGCCGCCAAGTGGGACCATCTCGCAAGAAAACTAGTCAAGTCTAACCGGAACCTCAAGTCATGTGATCACATTGTGATCACATGAGAATCTAATAACGGTAGGTGTCCTGCTTGAAGGGGCCATCTGTCTTAACGCCAATGTAGTCGGCCTGCTCCTTGCTCAGCTTGGTAAGGTGGGCACCCAGCGCCGGCAGATGCAGTGCGGCCACCTTCTCGTCCAGCTGCTTGGGCAGCAGGTACACATCGTTCTTGTACTTCTTCGCCTTGGTGCAGTTTTCCAGGATGTCCAGCTGCGCCAACACCTGGTTGGTGAAGGAGCAGGACATCACGAAGGACGGGTGACCAGTGGCACATCCCAGATTCACAAGCCGGCCGGAGGCCAGCACAATGACTCCGTGGCCGTCAGGGAAAACGAATCGGTCCACCTGAGGCTTGATGTTCTCCACCTTGATGCCGGGGAAGTTCTCAAGGTCCTCCATGGCAATCTCGTTGTCAAAGTGCCCGATGTTGCCACGATGGCGTGTTCTTCATCTTCTTCATGTGGTCCAGCGTGATGATCTTGAAGTTGCCAGTGGCCGAAGTGAAGATGTCCACCTCGCTAACCACCTCCTCGGTGGTCACCACCTGGAAGCCCTCCATGCACGCCTGCAGCGCGCAAATGGGGTCAATCTCCGTGATCAGCACGCGGGCGCCTGCACCCCTCATGGCAAAAGCACAGCCCTTGCCCACATCTCCGTAGCCCGCCACAAGGGCACGCTTGCCACCGATCATCACGTCAGTGGCGCGCATGATGCTGTCAGGCAGAGAGTGCCGGCAGCCATACACGTTGTCGAACTTCGACTTTGTCACGCAATCGTTCACGTTGATGGCTGGGAACAGCAACTCGCCCTTGGCAGCCATTTCGCGAAGGCGGTGCACGCCAGTGGTCGTCTCCTCGCTGACGCCCTTGCACTTCGCAGCCATGCGAGTGTACTTGGTCTTGTCCGCCGGGATGGAGTCCTTCAGCAGCTGCAGGATGCACTTGTACTCTGCGTTGGTGGTGCTAGCCGGGTCTGGCAGGCTGCCATCCTTTGCGTACTTCTCCTCGAACTCTTTGCCCTTGTGCATCAGCAGAGTGGCATCGCCTCCATCGTCCACAAGCTGGTCGCAGCCATCCGCACCAGGAACTGTCATCATCTGCTCAGTGCACCACCAGTACTCCGGCAGGGTCTCACCTTTCCAGGCAAACACTGTGGAAGTGCCAGCCTTGGCAATGGCGGCCGCAGCATGGTCCTGTGTGCTGAAGATGTTGCAAGAGCACCAGCGCACCTTGGCGCCCAGCGCGCTCAGCGTCTCGATGAGCACACCTGTCTGGATGGTCATGTGCAAAGAGCCGTTGATGTTCAAGCCCTTGAACGGCTGCCCAGGGCCATACTCCTTCCTGGCAGCCATCAGGCCTGGCATCTCGTGCTCTGCCAGGGTCAGCTCCTTGCGGCCAAACTCAGCCAGGCCCATGTCCTTGACTTTGGAGTCCGCCATGGCGTGCGAAGTGGTTCGGAAATGGGGCACTACAAAAGTTCCAGGTCGGTTTGAGACTGCCAAATGAATCAAGTTTTATCTGAAGCAAACGGTGGGGCACCCTCCACAGCGCTGTTCCTCTTCTCAATAGACAGCAGCTTCGACCACCAGTCAAACACGAAAACACCTCAGCTTACCTCTGCTGTTCCACAATGGCTTGATTTTGGGGAAAAAAGAGTCGTTTCACCCGCTTCAACGCAAGCAGCCCTGGCTTCAAACATGCAGGCACCAATCGCACACATTTTTGAGAGCGGATGAGCGCTCCAGCGGTCAGGCCACTTCTTCTTGGGATCCGCGCTCAGCTGTCTGATGCGCCGCCAAGTGGGACCATCTCGCAAGAAAACTAGTCAAGTCTAACCGGAACCTCAAGTCATGTGATCACATTGTGATCACATGAGAATCTAATAACGGTAGGTGTCCTGCTTGAAGGGGCCATCTGTCTTAACGCCAATGTAGTCGGCCTGCTCCTTGCTCAGCTTGGTAAGGTGGGCACCCAGCGCCGGCAGATGCAGTGCGGCCACCTTCTCGTCCAGCTGCTTGGGCAGCAGGTACACATCGTTCTTGTACTTCTTCGCCTTGGTGCAGTTTTCCAGGATGTCCAGCTGCGCCAACACCTGGTTGGTGAAGGAGCAGGACATCACGAAGGACGGGTGACCAGTGGCACATCCCAGATTCACAAGCCGGCCGGAGGCCAGCACAATGACTCCGTGGCCGTCAGGGAAAACGAATCGGTCCACCTGAGGCTTGATGTTCTCCACCTTGATGCCGGGGAAGTTCTCAAGGTCCTCCATGGCAATCTCGTTGTCAAAGTGCCCGATGTTGCACACGATGGCGTTGTTCTTCATCTTCTTCATGTGGTCCAGCGTGATGATCTTGAAGTTGCCAGTGGCCGAAGTGAAGATGTCCACCTCGCTAACCACCTCCTCGGTGGTCACCACCTGGAAGCCCTCCATGCACGCCTGCAGCGCGCAAATGGGGTCAATCTCCGTGATCAGCACGCGGGCGCCTGCACCCCTCATGGCAAAAGCACAGCCCTTGCCCACATCTCCGTAGCCCGCCACAAGGGCACGCTTGCCACCGATCATCACGTCAGTGGCGCGCATGATGCTGTCAGGCAGAGAGTGCCGGCAGCCATACACGTTGTCGAACTTCGACTTTGTCACGCAATCGTTCACGTTGATGGCTGGGAACAGCAACTCGCCCTTGGCAGCCATTTCGCGAAGGCGGTGCACGCCAGTGGTCGTCTCCTCGCTGACGCCCTTGCACTTCGCAGCCATGCGAGTGTACTTGGTCTTGTCCGCCGGGATGGAGTCCTTCAGCAGCTGCAGGATGCACTTGTACTCTGCGTTGGTGGTGCTAGCCGGGTCTGGCAGGCTGCCATCCTTTGCGTACTTCTCCTCGAACTCTTTGCCCTTGTGCATCAGCAGAGTGGCATCGCCTCCATCGTCCACAAGCTGGTCGCAGCCATCCGCACCAGGCACTGTCATCATCTGCTCGGTGCACCACCAGTACTCTGGCAGGGTCTCACCTTTCCAGGCAAACACTGTGGAAGTGCCAGCCTTGGCAATGGCGGCCGCAGCATGGTCCTGTGTGCTGAAGATGTTGCAAGAGCACCAGCGCACCTTGGCGCCCAACGCGCTCAGCGTCTCGATGAGCACACCTGTCTGGATGGTCATGTGCAAAGAGCCGTTGATGTTCAAGCCCTTGAATGGCTGCCCAGGGCCATACTCCTTCCTGGCAGCCATCAGGCCTGGCATCTCGTGCTCTGCCAGGGTCAGCTCCTTGCGGCCAAACTCAGCCAGGCCCATGTCCTTGACTTTGGAGTCCGCCATGGCGTGCGAAGTGGTTCGGAAATGGGGCACTACAAAAGTTCCAGGTCGGTTTGAGACTGCCAAATGAATCAGAGGTACTTCCCTTTTCAGCATTGGTTTTATCTGAATCAAACGGTTGGGCACCCTCCACAGCGCTGTTCCTCTTCTCAATAGACAGTAGCTTCGACCAGTCAAACACAAAAACACTGCAGCTTACCTCAGGTTTCCCACAATGGCTTGATTTTGAGAAAAAATGGGTCGTTTCACCCGCTTCACACGCAAGCAGCCCTGGCTTCAAACATGCAGGCACAAATCGCACACATTTTTGAGAGCGGATGAGCGCTCCAGCGGTCAGGCCACTTCTTCTTGGGATCCGCGCTCAGCTGTCTGATGCGCCGCCAAGTGGGACCATCTCGCAAGAAAATTAGTCAAGTCTAACCGGAACCTCGAGTCATGTGATCACATTGTGATCACATGAGAATCTAATAACGGTAGGTGTCCTGCTTGAAGGGGCCATCTGTCTTAACGCCAATGTAGTCGGCCTGCTCCTTGCTCAGCTTGGTAAGGTGGGCACCCAGCGCCGGCAGATGCAGTGCAGCCACCTTCTCGTCCAGCTGCTTGGGCAGCAGGTACACATCGTTCTTGTACTTCTTCGCCTTGGTGCAGTTTTCCAGGATGTCCAGCTGCGCCAACACCTGGTTGGTGAAGGAGCAGGACATCACGAAGGACGGGTGACCAGTGGCACATCCCAGATTCACAAGCCGGCCGGAGGCCAGCACAATGACTCCGTGGCCGTCAGGGAAAACGAATCGGTCCACCTGAGGCTTGATGTTCTCCACCTTGATGCCGGGGAAGTTCTCAAGGTCCTCCATGGCAATCTCGTTGTCAAAGTGCCCGATGTTGCACACGATGGCGTTGTTCTTCATCTTCTTCATGTGGTCCAGCGTGATGATCTTGAAGTTGCCAGTGGCCGAAGTGAAGATGTCCACCTCGCTAACCACCTCCTCGGTGGTCACCACCTGGAAGCCCTCCATGCACGCCTGCAGCGCGCAAATGGGGTCAATCTCCGTGATCAGCACGCGGCGCCTGCACCCCTCATGGCAAAAGCACAGCCCTTGCCCACATCTCCGTAGCCCGCCACAAGGGCACGCTTGCCACCGATCATCACGTCAGTGGCGCGCATGATGCTGTCAGGCAGAGAGTGCCGGCAGCCATACACGTTGTCGAACTTCGACTTTGTCACGCAATCGTTCACGTTGATGGCTGGGAACAGCAACTCGCCCTTGGCAGCCATTTCGCGAAGGCGGTGCACGCCAGTGGTCGTCTCCTCGCTGACGCCCTTGCATTTCGCAGCCATGCGAGTGTACTTGGTCTTGTCCGCCGGGATGGAGTCCTTCAGCAGCTGCAGGATGCACTTGTACTCTGCGTTGGTGGTGCTAGCCGGGTCTGGCAGGCTGCCATCCTTTGCGTACTTCTCCTCGAACTCTTTGCCCTTGTGCATCAGCAGAGTGGCATCGCCTCCATCGTCCACAAGCTGGTCGCAGCCATCCGCACCAGGCACTGTCATCATCTGCTCGGTGCACCACCAGTACTCTGGCAGGGTCTCACCTTTCCAGGCAAACACTGTGGAAGTGCCAGCCTTGGCAATGGCGGCCGCAGCATGGTCCTGTGTGCTGAAGATGTTGCAAGAGCACCAGCGCACCTTGGCGCCCAACGCGCTCAGCGTCTCGATGAGCACACCTGTCTGGATGGTCATGTGCAAAGAGCCGTTGATGTTCAAGCCCTTGAATGGCTGCCCAGGGCCATACTCCTTCCTGGCAGCCATCAGGCCTGGCATCTCGTGCTCTGCCAGGGTCAGCTCCTTGCGGCCAAACTCAGCCAGGCCCATGTCCTTGACTTTGGAGTCCGCCATGGCGTGCGAAGTGGTTCGGAAATGGGGCACTACAAAAGTTCCAGGTCGGCTTGAGACTGCTGCGAGTGCCAACATCAGCATACGAGCTCATAAGGCTGGCCAGGGTATCAAATTCTCAGGCTCGTGTTGTGCACTTGCAGCGCGAGGCAGGGCTTCTAAGCCCACAGCTGTCCTCCCGCTCGTGACTGCAGCCTCTGAACACGCCGAGCCTCGGATTGTCGGTGCGGAAAACTCAAACGAAGCCAATGCAAATGAGCGTTGGTTTCTATTCCCTACAAACTTGCTTGGACATTATTCAAGCTTCCGCGGACCCTTCCGCATCCTTGCCGCGATCCAACTCAAAAAACGAGCGTCTTTTTGGTGCCCGCAGCTTATGCAGAGCTCTGCATCCAGGCGGCAGTTTCGAGACGGCGCGCGCCACCAGTGGCCGCTTCTTGGTGAAAGCACGGCCAAAGCCACGCAAGAGCTGCACCCCAACCTCGCGAATCGAGCATTCAGTCGACCGTTGAAGATCGGCAGTTTGACGGAAAAACGTTTAGCCGGTTAACATTTTTTTGTGCCCCGGGAGAGCTGTTTTGCAAACGCCAAATCTTGGGGGGATTGTCCCTTACTACCCTACAATTAACATCCCAATCCCCACTAAAATAGGCTAAAATGGCTGGTGCACCTACCCCAAAATGGAATCCCATTGGTTTTGACAACCACAGCCATTTGTTTCTGATGCAATCCGTTTCCCTAGCAAATTCCTTCTCAAGCCCTCCAGGTGCACAGCCGAAAGGAGGCGGAGCCACTGGGTGCCAGTGAGCCTCAATGCTTCAGGCCGAGTCAGGGGCACGATCTTTACTTCCCAATGCAAGAAATGAGAATGTGGATGTATTTGTTTGTGAGGGAACCCGTGTTTTTGCTTGATGTAAAGGGAAGGGGTCGACAAGCAAGTTCTCAACATGCTGACTTCACATCTTCGCATTGAGGCATGGTCAAATTAACAGTTTCCCCAAGAGCCCAGGGAAGGACTCGTGAGTCCCAAGGTTTTTCCGGGCAATTTTGTGAGTTTCTTCATGATCCGAACTCTAAATGGACCATAGACAGGAGATGTTGACCAAACCTCCCACGTTCGCTGTAGTTCGCAACAAGGGGAATTGGGCTGGACCCGGGTTCTGGATCTTGCTTTCCAAAACCCAAAATAGAACCCATGCACCTATTGCTGCATGCCCATTCTCTTCGGGATCCTTCACAAGAGATAAGCCTCAGGCATTGCCTTTTATTTTGTTCGGAGACAACATGGGTAAAGGGTGCAGCCTGAGACCACAATATAAGTTTGCAAGGGAAGATGTTCCCCTCGCTCTAAATCCCTGGAAAGCTCGATTGGTAGTCCTTGTAAAGGGAGACCAAAGGAGACCACACCGAATTGGAGTTCTGATCGTTTTGTGCAGTCGAGGCTCCGCAAAACTTTGCTAAAAGTGGCATATGGGTGTGTCCTAAAATAGGACTTGGACACCAGAAGCCACCAAACTCCAGGTGCAGAGCCGCCTGGACATGCTCTGCTTTGAAAAACACCTCACAAATCGATGTCCAACAGATCCCCCTCCACAGAATCGCATGCCTTGACTCCAGGCATCCGCGCCATCTCGACACAGCGGGAATGGCGCGGGCAAGAGCCTGATGGCAACAAGCTTAGGACCCCAAGCGGGAAGCTCGAACCACGCCCCACCTCTGCTAGCTCTGGCAAGGCCTCAAATGGCAAACTGCTTACGGCCAGTTCTGCATTGCCCCACAGGCCGCAACAGAAGGAGTCAGGCGTGTGGGCGGCGATCCTGAAGGAGGGGCGGTAGAAGTTGACCCAGCAGCCGTCTCAGCATCCTGCATCAAACGAACTGGCTCAGAGCAGAAGCCGGGGATGTGCATGCGCGAAGCTCGCATGTGCGAGCATGCTTCGCATCAATTCTCCCGCCTCTTCCGCCTCCTCTTCTTCCAGCCCAGCTGGCAAAGCTGCTGCTTCGGCCGCGTCCAGAATCACCTCCAGGAATTCGAGCACCACCTTGGCATCGAAGCCGGAACTCTCTCATTCCAATCTCTTGACGCACAGTTGCCGGCAGCCTTGGAACCGGCCGGCTGACACCTGGGGCCTGCACGGCTGCACCCTCGAGGCGCGCCACAGCCGGCACCAGCCTGGGCAGTCCAGGATCCAAATCAGCTTCCAGCATCGCAGTCGCACAACAACTCGGTGAGGCCTCTTGCGCGTCTTTTTCGGAGTTGGTGCCCAAATTGTTTTTGAGAGCCAAACCCTGTGCGTGCGCTTTGTTCACGTGTTCAGTGGAAACTCAAATTGAACTATGTTTGTTTAAATCATAGCTGAAGTGTAGAGAAAGTTGATTGCTTACAACATGCTGTGTGAATTATCATTTACAAAATAGAATCAGTCAAAGAAAAATTATACTATAGTATACAAGTCGTGTTTGGATTCATTCCTTATCAAATTATGCTTCAACTCAAACTTAATTATAATGTTCTATTGGGAAAGGAGTCCCCTCTAAATTCTAAATTTAAGATGTGATTATTCGGATCAAGTATGTCCTTATTGAAACCCATTTAAGTCCTGTTAAAAGTCACACTATTTTTTTTGGAGAGCAGCCGTTGGTGGAGATGTGAATTGGGTATGAAAAAACGCAACAAAGCACTGTATTTTACGCTGTTTTCTCACCATGGTAGTGCTGGGGCTAGTAAACAGAAACAAACACGAATTCGGGACCTCTGATTTGTTTCCTTCTGAAATCTACTTAAAATCATGGTCAATTCTACTCAGTTTCTAACTGAAATTAAACGGAAATTGTTCACGGAAGACTCCAACCATATTGTATTATTTTAAATCAGATTTGTAAAGTATGATAAATCTATTTCAACATAAATGCTACACGGGAGTGCCTTTCCAATAGAATTGCCCTTACAAATCAGTAAGCAGCTAACCAAAATGCATAAACATGTCCGGGACCTATGGGGTGTTTCCTTATGAATTTTACTTGATATGTTTCTCAAGTCCTACTTCATATCTATCTCACATTAAAAATACGTCAATAAGAAAAACATCCAATCATATTTTTGAGTTTAAAGTATGATTTAAGTAATGAGTATCCTATTTCGAAATCAATGCTACACGGAGTTTCCTTTCCAATCGAATTGTCTTTGCAAATCAGAAGAATGTAATAAGACACGAGTCCGACCAAGGAAATCATCTCTAACTTACTGTACTAGGGCTCGGAGGTGAACCACACCAGCGCACTTGATCACAGAAGCTCTTGCAAACAGGCCCGAAACGGTACAGCACAAAAACAACTCGGGACAACCAAAACAAAACATATTCTCCCCCCCCAAGTCAGGACAGCTGATAGTCCGCTTTTTTTGCTGGGGGTTTTTCACACTTGTTCAAACAAACACCAAAAATCAAACTCTAGAAAGGCAAAAAACAACTCCCCCCCCTCCAAGTCTAGACAGCTGACATACTCTTGGTTTGTTTGCTTTCCTTTTTGATTTTTGTGATTTGTTTAGTTTTCGAGGAATTTCACACTGTTCCAAAGAAATACAAAAAACTTCGAGAAAACCAAAAAAACTACCCCCCCCCCCGGGCCCCAAGTCAGGACAGCTGCCATCGTCTTTGTTTTTCTCGAGTTTGTTCACACTTTTCCAAAGCAAGGTGACCTGTCTTTTTTTCTTCTTCTGGCTTTAAAGGGATGCCAAAACAAAAAGCGATTCTTCCTGTTCTTGATTTCACCTGGCCCTTTACCTGTTCTGATTTTTCCTGCCAAACGAAAAAAGCGACGCCCTTGCGTGGACCTGTTCGAATTCGTTTGTTGGTTTTCTCGGGTCCCAGCGCCCCAAGGCAGCGAGCACCCGTCAAGCGAGTGCTGTTCGAGCCTCGGGCGACAGCCGATTGGACCGCTTGGGACCCTGGCAGCTCGGACGGAGCTGCTCCGGTTTTCGGCGGTCGGATTTTTTTTGACCCCTTTGGGAAGCCAGTCCTGACACTCATGCAGATTCGGCGCTCGCCAATATGATTACACCATGGTTGAAATGCTAGGCATGGGCAAAGAATGCCGTAGGACAAGGGCAAACTTGCGACCCACCGCAAGATAGTGTCCGAGCATGTATTGGGAAAAGGATCAGATCCTGCAAGAAGGCTTTGCAGGGGCGCCAGCCGTGGTCATGGAGCTCTCGCAAGTTTCCTAGTTTGCACCCGATCTTTGGCCTGGAAAAGTGACCCCCACGGCCCTTCCCATGTCTCAGCCTTAAGGCCCAAAATCCGACACCATCGCCCTCGCTTTCAGCGTGCCGGGCAACATCCCTCGTATTGCAACTGGTCTTCCGGAAGCAGCCTGTCTTTCCATGCGAGCCAACAACACGGAGCCCGAAAAGGGAAAGGTGGTACAGTGGCACCTTCGCCTTTGTTTCAAATGGGCTGATATTTTCTTGAGCGCCTCGGTGCGCACGCACAGTCGCCCGGGGCGAGGACTCTGCACCATCTCCAGAAAGTGTGGGTACCATCCTGCAGGCGGAAGAGGAGTGGTGCTTTGTGCGCCCTCTGGGCTTGACCCGCTCGCTTCGGTTTGGCGCCAGTCCATGCCAGATTGTGTTGCATCAAGATTCTCATTTCTCATCCAGCCTCTCACCACTGCGGCTTCTGGTGGCAGGTCTTGAACCTGCTTCAGCAATGCCAGCACAGCACAAGCCAAGCTGCTCCGTTTTCTTGGAGCCCTGCCTCCAAATCATCTTCCAAAGGCCGCTTTCTGGTGGCCGGCGCCTGAGCGCGAAGCCCCTTACAAAACCCAATGGTGAGAGGTCTATTGTCACCCTGACCAGAACCAGGCAGGCCCATCTCAGGTTTCAAGCTCAGGTCCTTCACAGAAACGCGGCCATGCAGAACGACTCCGGCCGCCTTCTGGGCTGTCTCACCCAAGTCAGAGAGCACACCGTCGCTGAGCGCCTGCAACCAGCTTTTGTCGAATGAGGTATGTCTGAAAACCTTTGAGTACATTGCAATCCAAGTGATGACTGTCCATCTCCTAGCGCATCTCTGGCAGTCATCTTGATCCATGGCCGTTGGGCTTTGCACACACGCCCAACGAACTTCAAAATATACCTGGTGAAACCATACGCCTCGCATTGAGAATTGAGACGGCTAAGTGAGTGACCTGGGGAGTTTCCTAGAACCTTCCCAGCTAGCACTTCCCACACACCTCGTTGTAGAAGGCGGTCCGATCCACCCCAGGCACGTGCTTGTTGGCCAGATCCCATGCCATGGGATAGACCACGCCGCTTTTGTTGAATTTGGCCGCGTAGGACAAGGTCTTGCCATCAAAGTGGCTGGGGTTGCAGAACCACTTGTCGCAGGGCTGCCTCAGCTTTTCCCCTGGACCCGCAGGCTGCGCCTCCTGCAAAACCCAGTCGCTTTCATCGCCGCCTGCGCCCAGCCAGATCTCCACCCAGTTGTGATTCCCATCCTTGGGTGCCCCATGCCAGGCAGGGGTACCCACCACCCGCGCAGGCACCCCCACGGTCCGCAAGGCATCCACATACATGATGGACAAGCCCGTGCAGGACGCGAAGCCAAAAGCTATGGTGCTCATGGGATCGTAGATCAGGGGCGTCTGCTGCGACTTGAACTTGATTTCCAGGTCGGGCCGAAACAAAGACCACATGTGTTTGTTGACAATGTCCGCAACCTCCTCCAAGCCGGTTGCTTTGAAGGTGCTGTTGAACACCAAATTGGGTAGCTTCTCCCAGAACATCTGCCGCCAGTCGTTCCGGTTCTCATTCACACTGGCATAGGGCAGCACATAATCCATCCACAGCTCCTCCGGCACCGCGGCGGCCCAGGGGAACTGCTGCCTGGCCTTCAGTGCTAGCTGGACGCTGGAGGGCAACAGCCCCAGCTCCAGGGTCCCCAGGTTCTCCACGTCCCAGGGCGGCATATTCTCCCGGAGGAACTTCTCCGCTCGCTGTTGGGCGTCCGAGAACGCCTCGCAGCGGCCGACCCATGGCACTTCCCCCTCAGGACATGCCCCAACCCAGCTTCCGGCCCGCTCCAGGCGCTTCACATGCCCCAACCGCCCCGTCGCAGTGGCCAGAAGGCACCAGGAGGCCAAATGAAAGAAACTCATCGCATGGAGGTGCGTTAAGCGGATCGTGTCTCGAGCCACATGGCACTTTTCCCAAAAGTGTCTGAGAATTGCGTTCCGCGCATGCACTGCAATGGAGCTCTTCTCTTTGACTTGTGGACTCAAAATGCTTGCTGGCTCATTCCCACATGCCATCGGCATTCGAAGCTCAAAACAAGTAAAGCATTTGACAAGCCACACCTTTTTGGCGGAGGCTTCATCTCCAGTGTGATCTCATGAATAAGTTTCTCGCCTTGTGTGCTGAGCTCCCTTCCACTCTCTCCCCAGCCCAGCGACCCGGCCCGCAGGACCGCATCCAGCATGCCCCGGCCAGCAGCGGCCACGTCGGCTTGCGGAGCTGCTGTGGAGGCCTAAGGCTCAAGCCCAGCTCGCGGGGTTCACCCGGCTAAGCGATGGTCGCTTGCCTGAATGGTCAGAAAAAAAGCTTCGATACTTTCTCAACTCAAGCAGAGGGTGATAAAGGCATTAAAGGCATTCGCCTTTTTCTAGGGTGGTTTTGGGCGACAATAGGAACTTGAGGGATCTTCGTCTTCCTGGAGATTGCATCAAGGGAAGCCGAGCGACCAAAGGCGGTTTGACCAGTAGGATTGCTGGGGAATATCTTCCACATGTGATCAAGAACAGGCATTGGGGGAACTGCGCGTTCGCCAGCTGCGCTGACTTAGCATGGCTGGGCGATGCTCGTCCCAAGTGCATCCAAGCCAAGGGCAAGCATTTTGCCGAGCAAGGAGGAATCCTCGGCAAAGCAAAGCTTTCCTAAGCAGCATGCTCGCCCACCTTTGGCGGCAACGCCCACTCTGACAAGGCACGCCAAAGTGGCTCCCACAATTTCACGTCTTTGTAAGCCTACTTTGCTTGAAATCAACTCTGTCAAGAAGCTTCGCCCGCAAGCTGGCGAGAAAGATCACTGGACCGGGTCCATGTCCCAATTGTGCCGCTTCCATAAAACACCCAAGGCAACTACTTCTATCGCATTGCACATATACCAAGAAAAAGGAGAGAGCGAATCCTGTGAACTGCTGGACAAAAAGTAACAACTCTGCTGGGGTCAGCGTGAAAGTGGGGCCCGGGCCGGAATTCGCACCTCCCCTGCTGCTTTGGCCTGGCGACGCAAAGGCCCGACTTCCCGTTTGACATGCTCACATCAGGGACCAGCTGATGGCATCTGAGACCCTTTTCAAAGCTTCAAAGGCTTTCCCCAGCTGTTTCTGGCAAGAAACAATGAGTGACCGCTCTGGGTAACTACCCGCCTCCATCTCTTTGAGGCTCTTCTGAGCCTCCAAGCGAAAACGCACGGCCGGCAGGGCAACTCTGTTCAAGGAGTGAAAATCGGAAGAGAACGATGACTGGCCTCGGTAGCGAAGAAGCGCCGGAACACGAAGGCATGATCCTTTCATCAGAGAAACGGTGCTTTCACTTCCCACCGAAGGCACTGCCTCGGTGCTCTGAGAGGTTGGCAAATTCTCAATAGCGCGTGCATGCCTCTTGACCACTGTGCTCCTTCCATCCCTCATGTTTCTGCTAGCAAGCAGTCCCCCCCCAGCACCCCGGGCAAAGGCAGCTGAGTTCAAGCTCTGGATCAAAAGGGCTAACCCGCTTGAGAGCAGGAAAGCCTGTCATGCCACCAATATTCACAAAGAAAAGTCCTCCACTCGAACCAAGCCGCAAAAAGCGACGTTCAACAAAAAGAGAATCCAGGAAAGTCCTCTACTCGAACCAACGACGTTCAACAAAAAGACACAAAGGGGCCAGCGCCAAAGCGAGGCACGTCTCTCCTGAAACAATCGCAGCGCTGCCCTACGTGGTCCGAGCCGTGAGGCGCCCACCTCACGAAGCAGCGGGGCAGCGGCTGGCGGCTAGGCCGGTTGGGTGGCACAGACGACCACTGGGCTGCGCCATGCCTCCACAAGTGCTATGGAGGAGGCGACGTTGTAGAGCCTGCAAAGCCTGAGCCACAGGTCTCTTGACAAGGTCTCGGGAAAAGCGCTCGAAACACACATAGCGCCTGGATTTCGTTGCCTTTGTCACAAATTCCAACATGTGAGGACAGCTAAGCATTTAGATGCCGCAGAACAGGCCCTACAGCACTGGAAAAGCAAATGTTCGGTCTGTCTGGAAATGAGGGACCCTGAGAATGTTTAGCTCCATGATGCCCGTGCTTTGGGTGTCCCTTTGGAGACCACCAGACCCAAGGAAAACACGGAGGCAACTCTGGGCTCTCGGCTCCTCTTCGTTGAACTGGTCTGCATGGCGTCGCAACCTCAAGTGGTCAGGCTTAAAAAAACAAAAAGAAGATGTTTTTCGGACTAGTATCATTTGCATCGACCAGTTCGTAATGAGTGTTGTCGAGCATTCATTTATGTAAACGGCCACGTCATATTTCGGCTCAAGCAGTGACCGAAGCTTTATGATAAAGCACTACATCAGCGGCAACATGGTGTCGTCCCCGGCTTCAGCATGAATCTAGTTCCGTTGCAAGGCCATGTTGTGTTGTGGTTGGCTTTGTTCTCAACCCCATGGGGAACAAAAAACAAGATCCTCAAAAAAATCCAACCTGGAGCACTGGAACTCAAATCCAACCCAAAACGACCCACCGAACCTAACTGCAAGCCGAAAGGCATCACGGCGCATGCCTCCAGCAAGCCAGCCACTAACTCCAGCGTGGGCTTGCTGCTGTTGGCCTCGCCTCGCCCGACGGATTGTCACAGCCCCACGGCCCCACCGTCGGTTGTGGCGGACTCTGGGCTATACAAGCTCGTGCAAATCAGCCTCGGGGCCTCGAGCTGAAGCCCTGCGTCAAATTCCATGTATCCTTCTTGATGTGTCAGTGACAATGCGTCATGCGCTTCCTTGCACTGGTGCCGGCAGAGTGGGGACATTCTGAAAGTCTGAGGGCAGGACGCTCCAACGTGCCAAGAAGTCGAGTTCGAAGCTCTGGAACGAGGCCAAACGCTCCCTGGCCTGAGCCAATCGATCCACAACTCTGAGGCGTCCGTGCAGCAGGCTTAAGCCCAGTGCCCTGAACTGCACCTCTGGCTGCCCTGGCATCTGCCAAGACCTCAGCGCCATCAGAAGACTTCGGCGTCCCACGGCCGGCGGACGGAAGCTGCAGGCTGCGCGCGACAAGGCCCCGGCCGCCAACACCTTGTGCAGGGCGGAGCTCTGCCCCGCCGTGAGCCTGGAGTGCCGCAGCTTCAGCCTCGATCGTCGAGGCATCCCCGAGAGGCGGGCAAAATGCGGTAGTGGCGCGTTTCATCCAGCATGACAAGCCTTGTTCAAGCCTTCCGTGGGCTGCCGGTGTTCAACGCAAGACTGTTGAATTGAAACTCTGACAACGCCTTTCTGATTCCTCAGGACAAAAACACACAGGATCAATGCAAAGGCACGGAAAGGATGTCAAACAAGCAGGAAGTTGATGGCTCATCAAGAAAGCCAAGAAGTGACAGCATAGAAAAGCCCATAGGGTTCCGGGTTTCGAGAATGGCGTTGCCTACCGGGCCGAACCGTCCCTGGCAGAGCCTTGGGGTTCTAGACAAGCCCAGAAAGGGACGAATCCTGAGGAATCCTCAAGGCCAAGGCTCATCAACAAGGCCAAGAAGTGACCACCGCCAGAAAAACCCATCAGGAAGAACCTAAAATCCCATCCTAAGCCACAAAAGCCCCATGCCATTGGCCTCGGAAATTTTCGCAACTTCGCGACTTCAGCTCCCAGCTCCCGCAGCAGCTCGTCGCCTGTGTGGCGAAGGCAGCGAGCCGAGTTGTGTTTGGGATTGTCCCTGACTTCTCTTCATCTACCCGCATTTTTTTTGGGCGGCTCGGAGCGGGGGGAGTTCGGCTCATGGGTTTGGATTTGCTTCCGGATGCCTGGTAGAAGGGGAACTCTAACCGCGAGGCCATGTCAACATCTGTGAGAAATCCTCCACTGGAAATATGTCCAAGTCTCGAGCCATGGCCCAAGGCCCAGAAAGACAGAGGAAAGAACTCCAAAAGATTAAAACAAAACAAAAAAAAGTCCCAGAAACAAGGAAAAGAACGCGGGGAGCTCCAGGCGTTCGTTCCCATCTCCTCATCTCCTCGAAAAAGTCTAAGGCTGCCGCCCAGGGCATCCGCAGGGAGCGGCACGTTTGGGACCTCCAAAGCATTCAGCCTCGGGAGGGCATGGACTTCGGCCCTTCGGTTTCCATTTAAACCAACTCCGAAAAGGGTACCCCACATAAGTGCAGCTTGGCTGGTGAAAAACGCCACAGATTGAGAAGGGGGCAGAGACGTCATTCGTGACATGTTTGCTTTATTTCGGAGTGCTCCGTGGAGGAGGGTTGGGAATTGTTCGAACTTGTAGTGCCTGGCCAAAAGGGGCCGCTCAGTTCCCGGATGCGTTTGATGATATTGATGCCAAACAAGAAACGGGTCTGGCCTGCTTCAAGGCTGACCTGGTATCTGATAAATATGGAAGTGCGATACCCGTTCTTGAGCTCGGGGCATGCAGTACAAGGCATTCAAGCCAGCCTGCTCACAGCCAGTCCACATTTGCCACTATCATCAACCTCATTGATGGCTTGTTGAGGCTTCAAAACATTTGTAGCCCAAATATCCATGCAATCTTCTCCCAACTCTTGTCAAAGCATGCGTAAGCTGTGCCACAGTGCATCCCGCTCGCCTTGTTGTCGACATCATTTCGAAAAATATTTAGACCTTGGCACTCACATAGAAACATCCCCGCCCCCTCACCCAAGCCCCATTTCGGGTCGTCAATTCCACGCACTCACTCCTGAAATTCTCAGATCACAGTCATGTGTCATCATGCTTCAAAAGCTATATAACATTGTACGCATATTGTGCCGCTATGGTTTTGCAGACCCATGCCACGGGAAAAGCTACGAACGATGTTGTGCGCTTCAAGCTCAACACCAACAGTCTCAAATTTGGCCTATGAACTTCGTCGCTTCGGTGAGCCTCTGGCAGGCGTCGGCCACGCGGCCCGCACGGCGCCCCAGCAGCGCCAAAGCAGCACGGCCGGAGCCTGCGGAAATGGAGACGGCGGAACAAACGTAAGGCAGGAAAAGAACTAGAACAAAGTTCAAGGGAAATAAAATAGAGAAAACAAGAAGAAGAAAAAAAAGGAGAGAATGAAAAAGGTCGAAAACATCATCATGCTGATGTGCAACACATCTGGCCATTGACAAACTACCTGCGAGCTTCGGGCCTGCCCTGAATTGACATGAATTGACGATGGCTTGGAGTTCACGTGTCATTGAACGAGGGATCCCAAAATGAACGAGTCGCCGCCTTCCGTCACATCCGTGCCCGAATGTCGCTGGAACCTGGGCCCGCACCGTGAAGGTCTAGAAAGCGAGCGCACGCTTGTAAGGCGTAGCGGCCTTGGTCTGAAACATCTGGGCGATCAGCTGCACCATTGAAGACAAAACACATTAAGATATATATATATATATGTATGTATATTGCAGCGCGGAAAAAAAATGGCCTGCTCTACTGGTTGTCACATTGGCTTTCCTTCGCAGAAAAGGTCCCCAGTTTAACATGTTGCTGCAGTCAGACGATTGACAAGCCGCAAACGTTCTCGGCGGCGAACGGTTTAACAAATGGTCCATCAAGGTGCCCGATGCCGTCGCAATTCCACACCAGGCTGAGAGAGGGGCGTCCAAGAGCGCAGACCGGATTCTTGTCTTGACCTGCTCAGTGTCAGGCACAACCAAATGGTCCTTTTCACCTCGCCTGTGCCCCGAAAACCGGAACCCTTCCTCGAATGCGGCCGCCAAACATCTCTTTTTTAAGGCAACTCCAAGGCGAGCACGTCTTCTATAGCTTCGTGTGAAACCTCCCAAAACGTCCGGGAGTGCGGTGAGAAGCTCCGGTGAGAAGCTTTGCTCCAAGCCCTTCCTTCGCTCGTTTCTGCCAGGGAAGCATGACGCATATCGCAGGACCTCGCAGGGATGCACACATTCATGATCAGGCTGTTGGAAGCATTGCAAAATACTAAATGGCAAATTGGTCCAAAACTCCACGGAAAGAGAAAATTAATTCCCCCCCCCCCCGGGGCACGCACAGCCCCCACAATCGTGTTTGGCACTGATGGTGTATCCAAACAAGTCAGAGGTAGTCCAGAATGACAGTGTATGCCATCCCATATTAGCTGGGTAAACTACATGTGGTACTAACACTTAACTAATACTTGTACAAATGTATGGATGCCCACAGCAAGCATCCAGCCGAGCCTCTTGAGCTCAGCCAGACACGATAACATTGATAGCCCTAAGAGCCAAGGAGACCTTTCTCTATCCTCGCATTAGTTTGACGCGTAGTGAGCATACACGTGACTTCCCAAAGACAGCAGCCGCCCTCCGTCACCTTTTTCCAATCAATCAGCGCAGAGTCACAGACTTTACACCTCATTCCGCAGTTTCCAGCCCATTTCGGCCAGGGGTCGGAGAGCCCAAAGTCTGTTCTCAGCAACAAACTCACCGGCAAGCCAACATTCTCCCGGCCAACGCATGCCGGTCACAGGCAACCCCTCAATTCGTGCAGTTGGTACCTCTTGAAGCCCTGCAGGCACTCAGCAGATTCGGCTGGGCCACAGATCTTCTCCAAGTCTTTGCCAAGCGCAAAGCAAGAAGACCTCACTTCGCCGCGCATTGCAACGGCTGACTTCGGCATCTTCCCAACCTCTGGGGCCTTTGCGCTTATGCCGACTTACTAAAGGCTGACCCTGATGTCCATGATGAAAGCCAAGCCCCGGCGCCGGAGTCCCTTTCCTCATCTATTCAAGCCAAGCTGCGAAGAAGTCGAGGTCTCAGCTGCCTCAGCTTATTGTGGAAGACGGAGAGGTCCCATCCTTGCGAGCTTTCGCCTCAGTAAGGAGGCCAAACAAAAACCACCTCCTTTGCACCCGAGGAACCACGAAATATGGGAGATAGGGAAGCCAAGCAGACTTCAAAGTCTTTGGCTACTTTTCACAAAAGAGGCAGTTTACAGCAAATGGCAATGCCCGTTGCTCCTTGCCAAGCATGCCAAGGTGCAACCTCATCCATCTGCCTCATCACTGCGAAGAAGAACTCTGATTCCTGTGCTTCAAAATATGATGATTCACTCCTTTCCCCCAGTTGGTGGATTGGATCAGTGGTGTGGGGATTAAAGAGTAGTTTCCCTTTTTCCTCTACATGAACCAGGGGTTCAAATCCTCAAACCACCAATCCACCCACCAACTCGGGGGAAACTAAGAAGAGCTTCAAGAGACGGCTAAAGCAAAACAAACAAACAAACAAACAAACAAACAAACAAAAACAGAACGGCACTGGTCAATAGTAAGGTAGACGTTGAGAACACTGCTGATTCCCTCTTCCAGGCATCCTCTGCAGGACGCCGAGACTCAACCTCCACATCAATACCACCCATTTCGCGAAGCTGTCGGGTCATGGACTCCTCGGTTAGCATAGCGCACTATCCAAAGGCGGCAATGGAGCTCTAAAAAGCTATTGGGCTCTTGTCCCCGTAGCATATGTTCCGCTCACTCGTTGTTTTGTCTTGTGTTTGTTCTCTGAACTTGTATTTGTTTTCACCAGGCATCTGGCATCTTGTTCAGCAAGCCGTCTCCCACCTGACGCTTCGATGGCAAGAGGACTGCTGACACCAGTTTATACGAGCGGACATGCCAAGCTGCTGAGGGACAAACAATCTTTCAGAGTCGAAGGTCAAGAGTATGTTAACAAAGCGCAACTAAGTAGTGCAAGTAATTGCAAAGCATGCCTTGGTGAAAGTCGCATGAATACACATTCTTCAATGGTTGCACCTGCATGAGCACCAGGTTCTGCAAATCGGTCATGACCCACGTGGGCAATCGGCCCAAGAAGCGCATGAATTTGTCGAAGCGATCCATCTTTTTCTCATCCAGCTTGGACAAAAGCATCTTTCGAACGTCGATGTCCTCCGGCACTCTCAACGTGCTGTGGGCAAGCTTGTGTTGATGTTAGATCGATGACAACCCCTTGACACCAAAGTTGCGCAGTCGAAAAAGCACGCAACACGAAATCCAGGTCCTCCACGGAAATTAAGACCACTACAAAGTTACCTCGATGAAACTGCGTCACTGCCGTGGCTGTCAATCCAGCTTCATTCTTCAGTCGCTGAGGGATGCTCGCCTCAAGGTTAGCACCGAGCTTCTCTGAAAAGAGATCGTCCGACACCAATCGATTCGCAATCTTTCCTGCGAGGCCATATTTCAGAGCATGGGTAATGATTCCAATCATCTCGTCCCCCAACTTATACTCGACAAGCTGCGGTCCCCAAAACCCAACCCCAACCCCGCCCCCTTCCCTGGCTCCTAGCAACTTCCCGGCGATGCGGCTCTTCTCCATGGACTTGGACGTGATCGCCTCCTTTTTGTTTTTGATCACGATGTTCAGGTAGAACTTCACGGTGGCCACGTACCTCACCTGAGTCACGTGCTCAAAACCTGGTACTAAAATGGTCGTAATCCCAGAACCATGTAAACCATTTAGAAGGCGGTTGCAGCTATTTATGGTTGGGACTACCCAGAACCAGGTAAAGAACTAAGGCGGATATCCGCAGCTATTTATGGTTGGGCTCGTCCTTTACTAAGCTTCATCTACCCTCACCTGCATCCAGCGCCAGAGCCGCGCCAGCACCAGCCACTGCAGGCCGAAGAGAACCGTCTTCAGAATCCCCCCCACCAGCAACCGGAAGCTGAGGCCCAGAAAGGCCTCGAAGAAGCTGTACAGGGCGCCCAGGACCCAATACACCGCCACCAGCCGCAGCGCCTTGTAGTTCTCAGGGCTGTCATCCCGCGAGCTATACAGTCCCAGCACCGGGAACACGAGGTTCCCAATCGTGGTCAAGCCTCAACCCAATGTCGAAATTCGCCGATTGAACAAGCGGACAAACGCGTTTGTTTTCTTGTTTTTCTTCTTTTGCAAACGCCTATTACAGCCCTACCAATCTCAACCCAGTCAATGCAAAATATGCAACACTCATCTGCCAATCTCAACCCGAGCAACCCAACGTTCTGTAGAAAGCCCCATAGGCGAAGCTGACAAAGCCTACCACAGCCTGCAGGCCGAAGAATCCTCGAGACAGCCCCAACAGCTCGTTCATGTCCAGCTTCTCTGGATGCTGCACCAGGCGTGTGATCATCTCCATGTCAAGGAGCTTCCGCATGGCGCCCATCTCCACTCTCATGGCGCCCGGCGGAGGCAGCTTCTCTGCGTGCAATCTCGCGGAGGACGAAACGAATACGGCAACGCGCGGAGAGGATTTGGTCAAGTCTATCAAAAATGCTGACTTGCAATGGCCATAGGCCACCAGATAAACTGGCAAACCGTCCTTCCTTTCACACGCTTCAACAAACTCAAGTGAGTCATAATCAAAACCTGGTGCAAAAATGATGAACCCAGAACCATGTAGGAAATTGCGCAACCATTTCTGGCTGGGATTGCCCCTTACTAACCTTCATTTACCCGGGTTTTGATTGTGACTCAAGTGGACTTGGGCAAGTCGGGAATTCATCATCTCGCCCATCTTTTTCAGCCTGAAGGGTGTGTATGTTGGTTAAGCAGCTTCACGAATGCAAGCCACATCCATCAATCTGGATTTTTCTCTGGAGACAACTGCCACAAACAGCTTGGAGTACGGTCAATCGCTAACCCAGCCTGTAGTCAATGAATCTCAATCGCCTCCCTTTCCCTGTCGATTAGGCTCCCTTCAAATGAGATGGGCTTGAGGTGTCAAGGGGTGAGAACGGCATCACATTTGCGTTAGCTGGGATGGGTTTGTACACACAAATCAACACAAGCCTCAGAGCCAGGAATCAAAGCGCCCAAGCTTCACTGAACCCCGCTCCAGTATCAATTGCAAGGCGGGTTGACAACAAGGAACAGTCCTTCGAAGGGGCAATATTGGGCAGCAGAAAAACGTGGGAGACCAAAACGCTAGAAGCTAACTCCAAACCCGGGTAAACAGGCAAAACACTGCCGCAAAACACAGCACAACGCAGAAGTGAGAATGAAGTGCTGGAAATATAATCCAACAACGCAAAAACGAAGCAGCTTTGGGCAGTCTCTGCCGCAGCGTTCTTCAGGTTTGGCGATAACTTTCTCGGGTCTTCACGAGCAGAAAACATCTCTTCCTGACATTCGCATGCACTGGGGATTTGTTTTCGGAAGATTCCGTGGGCCAAAAACTCAGAGCAGTTGCTGAACTGGCCTTGCCCGCGCGTGCGAGCTCCGTTTGGTTCTCTTTTCCCGGGTCCTCCCGCCTCACACGTCTCGAGGCTGCGCAGCTCCACATGTCTTGCAGCGCCAAACTCTTCAAGAGGGAGAGCTGCCATGGCATTGCCCAAGCCGACATGTTGCCTAAGCCGACTGCCGCTCCATCTGAACTTGCCGGCTAGCCCAACAAGATGTGCGACTGATGATTGTTTCACACCACCAAAAGCAAATGAAAACAGCACAACCTCCACCAGCAAGTCGCCACGGTGGCGCTCCAAACTTTGTCAGCCCTCCGCGGATGCCGAGTCCGAGACTATGCCCGAGCTGTCTCCAAGTCGCAAACATTCCTCAGCAAAACTCAAGTTGGCTGTGCAGTAGTTTCATACCTTGATTGATTGTCATTCATTGGCTTGGGGATCCCTAACATACTGTTTTGTTTCAGAATTTCACTTCTCAGCACTTCTCGCACCTGCAACTGATCCGCTTGCTCCCTTCCAGATAGTCTAAGCTGCTGTGCCAATCCAGTGGGGTGGAGATCAGCTCGTCATGCTATGAGACTCGCAGATCAGGATATAACAGTCCATCGAAGCAAGGAGCCACAAGCCAGGGAGGCACCCGTCCGGAAGCCTCCACCAAGCACGGCATTTCGGATTTCGCAGCTTGGAGATTTCGCGGCTTGAGAAAAATCTCGGCCACGAGATTGATGGCCACTTCAAACAGGGCCCAGCAAACTTTGGTTCAAGCTTTGCTGCTCTCTTCGGCCTCCACTCTCTGCCAGCTCCAGCAAGCCATGAGGGCCTAGGCAAGGCGTGTCGACAAGCTCGCAAGCCCAAATGTACTGAGGCTGAAGCCAAGCAACAAAGGAGCAGACATGGCAATCTCGGCCTCATCTAATCCTGGCATTGCCAAAATTCAAGCTGAAGCTTAGAAAACGCAAGGCGGGCCTGGGCCCTGGTTTCTCTTTTGTACCAAGCTTTCCAAAAGTACCGAGCTTCCCAAAGGGAAACCGTTCCGCAACCAGCACGCCTTCCCAGGCAGAGTCTTTCTGCGCCAAGTCCCGAAAAGCTGCTGGCAATGTGTCGTCTGCATCCTCGAAAAAGTTCGCTGGCAAACAATTTACTGGCAACGATTCCCTGGATTCACACAAACCGATCCGTGCATCCTGCTCTGCCAAAGTCGGCACGCCACACATCTAGTGTCCACTTCATGATATTTCAGGCTCAGACCTCACTGGTGCCAGCTCTGCCTGCAGGCCTTAGGCATCCACAAAACAAGGGCCAAAGTTCTGCAAGTCCCATCCATCAGAGTCTCAGATCGACCCACCATGTTCCAAGCGTGAATGCCGTGAATGATGCGCACACTACATGTTCTGGCACAAAATGTGAATGAAGCAGCCTTTCCGCCACCAGAGCATTTGCCACGGTTCGCACCCTCCCGCCTTGATAGTAGCTCTTCCAAATCCCGACAAGCTGTGGCCAGAACTCTGGCCTAGGCAGTCATGCGAATGCTCCAGCTGTAAAAAAAATGGCTTGAACTGCCACGAAGACAGCCAAAAAGAGACTACCCACAGCCAAGAGCCAGACCACCATATCGTCCGTGCATCGAAAACCATCAAAACATAAAGAGTGATGTGTAGCCTGTTGCTACATAAAAGGCCAATCAGCGGTGTGGCATTTCGTTCAGCTGCGTGGATTGGTTGAAATCTGTGCGAATTGTTTTGGTGTTTTCATGATTAGGGTCAGAATTGGCAACATGGGCCTGCCAAGACAAGGTGCACAATCCTGATGCGGAGTTCTACACACGTCACGGTTCAGATGATTCTGTTGCATGACACCAACACGTTTCATTCAGCTCATATCATATGTGCAATGCTGCGGATGGGACATGGATGCTGTCTGTGACCATTAGCAAATTGCGGGAAATTACATCTTGTCCGACGACGCCCCGCTCTCAACACCTCAACAGGAACGCAAAGCAAAACGCACCATGTGCAGGTCATCTGGCGTGGGTGGCCAAAGTGACTCCATATGGGTGGTCCCAAATGTCGTTTTTCTAAAGGTGCAGCAAGCAATTGAATGACACCGGCACCATGCCGTCAGCAACTTCAACCACGCGTTTGGCAAACAAAAGTTCACGTTTGTCAGTCCTGACAACATGAATGTTTCCTTGCCCCTGCTAATTTTGACCAATGCATCTACTCTTGTACTCGGCGGGTGTGCGCGAGTGGGTTTGAGCGAGCGCCCTTGCCACTTGAAGCGTGCGCGCAATGCTGAGAAGGTGCACTTGAGCCGCTCTTAGCATTTGGCAGGCGTGTGCGCGGCGCTGAGCTGCACTTTCAGCAGGCGCGTATATCATTTGGAAGGTTGCCCCGTATTTGCGAAAGCCTGACCGACGCGCGACTAAGAACATCGTGCTGAGAGCACCACGTCTAAAAAAAACAGTTTGTCAAATGACGTGCGTCAAACGTTCTGCGTCTTACAGCACGTCGCGCGGTTGCGCGCTGCAGCGTGTGACGGAGAAATGCGTGTTGCAAGGTTTCGGGCACTGCTGAAAGGTCAAAACAAACAAACACAGAGTGCCATCCCTTCTCTCAGCTACCCTTTTTTCCCGGAAGCGTTACAAAGGGCTCTTCGAAAAGCGGCTGCAAACTTCACCTGCAAATTTTGCCTTCCAACTTTTCGAGGGTACTTCACCTGCCAACTTGTCGAGAGTTACTTCACGTGCCAACTTCTCGTGCCAACCTTTCGAGAGTTACTTCGCATATGCCAACTTCTCGTGCCAACTTTTCGAGGGTTACGACACGTGCCAATTTGTCATGCCAACTTTTCACGGGTTAAATCACCCGCCAACTTGTCATGCCCACTTTTCGGGTGTTGTCTCATGATCCTCAAAACACAAGCTGACTTTTTGGGCGATACTTCACTATCCTGAAAGCACAAGCTAACTTTTTTTTTCTACCTCCACTTCTCAAATCTTAATTATTTGTCTTTTTCTGGCTGGGGTAGGCCCCTCTCCGGAGATCGTGCGTGTCGGATCGCTCTCGCTGTTGCGCCGTGCAAATGTGTATTGACCGCGAACGATCAGGCGCATCAATTGCACTGTTGGTCATATCAATTGCAATTTGCACGAGTTGCTCAATGAAGCATGCGGCACGATGTGGCGTGTTGTGTGAAAGCAGGGGAAATTATTTGGGCAGAGGCAACTCTTGTTGTTTAGAAATATATATATATATATATATTGTTTTTGTTTGTTTAGGTTATACAAGTGCCATCATCTTAGACACATGTTTTAGCAGTCAACTGCACAAATAACCATGTTGTGGATAAAACTGATTTGTTGGGCAAAACAATGGAACAAATACGTTTTACATGTTGTTTTGTTATAAGCCAATAGAATCTTGAAACTTGCACACCAAGGCGACGCCAAACTAGCAAGGCAGAAGCCAAGCGCACGCTTCGCGCACGTTGGAATGTGACCAATCACCTTAGCCAATGCGGATGGCCAACCCGCGTGACACTGGCCAAACCGCCTGTGTCAGGGTAGCGCCGTAAAACAAATACATACGTTGTATACCATGTCTGTATGATTACAAAACAACAAACGGATTTCAACACTGACAAGCATTGCCGAAGAACCGCACAACGTGAAGCTCCACGCCATCATTCCCAACCGCCCATTTGCCTAGAATAACAATATATCATTCCCACTTGGCCAATCTATCATTTTATAGTTAGTTTTATCATTGTTTGGCTCCACCACGCACACTTGCTTGAGTGAGTCAATCTGATGTAAATCTTGAAAAGTGGCATAAGAACTTGGCAGGCAAACCGCAAGTTCCACAAGAGTGCAAACCATGATTCAGGTGCCTTTTGGAAAAACTTTGCAATGCTGTTCTTCCACCAAGGAAAGTGCCTTTGCGGGTCCAACAAAAATACGAGGTAAAAACACGAATGCGTTCTTCTTTCCACCTCCAGACAAACTCTACCAAAGAATGATTTTACACTACCCGGCAAATAGATGGCACATTTACGACGTTTTTTTAGGTAGATGGTACGGTGTGATTTAAAAATGTCCCATGCTCAGTTGGCACATATCCTCAATTATCCGTCGAATTGTGCCATCTACTGGCTCAAACAATCAGGGAATAACCAGCGGGTCCAAAAAATGTGCCATCTACTTTGCAAACATGTCCGCCAACCGCCAACCCCTTTGGCTCTTCTGTGAGGATGTGGGAGTGGACTGGCGTGGCGTGGCGTGGCGTGGCGTGGAGTGGAGTGGAGTGGCGTGGGAGTGGAGTGGAGTGGAGTGGAGTGGAGTGGAGTGGAGTGGAGTGGAGTGGAGTGGAGTGGAGTGGAGTGGAGTGGAGTGGAGCGGCGTGGAGTGGAGGAAGTGGAGTGGACTGCGAGGCTTTTTCGGTCCCTCTACATGGGTCTGTGTGTTCAGACTTTTTTAAAGGCTCATTTCATTTCAAAACTTTTGATTACGACTCGGCGGATCAACCACGCAGTCAAATGACAGGGCAGTTGAGGTTCGACTCCCGTGGAGTGACCAGTACCCTCGACAGCAAGTCGTATAGTGGTGGTCGTGGTAAAGGGGGTTGTAAGGTAAATGATCTGCGTCGTCTCACGACTCGAAGCGACCGCGGAATACGAACCCTTTTGCTTTGCTTCAGAGCTGTGTTTGGATGTTTGCCTCGATTCTATTATCAAGGTCTTGAACCAGTTGACTCACTTGAGCCAAACGCATTCGCATGTACATGTCGGCTGCACACAAAACACAATCCCCCAAAAGGTTTAGGACCTTAGACAAGGGGAAGTAACAGGGTGACCCTCAGAACCTGCCCTTAGGATGTTTTGGCCTGCGGCTCGGAGATTCTTGGCTTCCCCCATCCCGGGCTTGGGTTCATCCCGGGTCGGGAACCTATCACAAACGCACGCCGACTCGCATGGACGCACGGCTTCTCTTTTCCTCAATTCAGTGAAACGTCTCTGCACGAGTTTGGCCAGGTTCTGCAAGCTGAACATGAAATGAGAATGCTACAGGTCTCTTACCAGACCTCATGCGCGAAGGCGCACATGCAGCAAGCTATCTATAAGGTACTTGTGCAGATCCATAGCAGTCTGCAGAAACGAATATCCATGACGAGCATCGTATAATCGTTGACCACCAAGCGCCTGGCATCCCCAGAATAGTAGTCGCCGATGACGATACTATCGGAAACAAGAAAACATTTTGTGGCGATAAATGCAAGTCTCACGCAATACTCTTGGATTGCCCAGTGTACCGCGCACGACGAGTACCACCAGGGCTGGCCATGATATCATTCACGATGAGTATCACGATCCCGTCTTGTATATAACTGCAAATTCCAATTGATCCCTCCCGGATCAGCGAAGTCCCTGGGAGTGCGCAGGCCCAGATCCGCGCCGTAAGTTCAGCACGATGGCTCCATCCGCCCCCGTGCGAGCCCTGGCGCCGCCGTCCGGCCTCCGTGATCTGTTGTCGTTGTCTCGTCCAACTTGCCATTCTTTTCTTACGGGGCCTGTTTTTTTGTTTTTTTTTTTTTTTTTTCGGTTGGCCGCGCCGTGCTTTGCCTCCCGACTCGGATTCCCCCAGGCCATCTGTGCAAGTTACGGACTGGGCTAATAGCTGGACATGTGGAACAGCTTGTTTTTTTGCACGGTTTTGCATGCTTTTGCTTCGTTTTGGAACGAATTTGCTTGATTCGATTTTTGCACGCTTGCTTGGGACATGTGGGCCTGGTCGAAACAGGTTCTGGTGCAGATCTTGGTGGCGAACAATCAGATGAGAACTTTTGAAGGTTGAAGTGGAGAAGGGTTCCATGTGAACTGGTCATGAGTTAGTTGTCTTTG